TATATATATATATATATACATTTAATAATACTTTAGTTCGAATGTAATTTTAAAAGATATAATATACATATATATACATATTGGATATTTATACATTTATACAAAATTTAAATGTATAAAAATCTGCAGAATACAAATAATATATAATATTATTTGTATTAAAGCATTAAATATTCAGTTCAATATTATAATATATAATATTATATAATATAATGGTTGTGATTTGAGAAAACATATCTTTATTTCATTTTTTTAATCTTATTCAATATTATTTTACTTAAATATATTCAATCTATTTATAACAATTCAGTCATAAGTTAACATTAGTTAACTTAATTTAATGTTAATTTAATTAAAAATAAACAATTAAAAATAGATTACATATTATGTGAATAGAAAAAGCTTGTATTAAAAACAATTGAAAGATAATTATTCTTAATTAATAAAAAATAGTAAATTTTGTGATCATTTGTGTTAACCTAGTTAAGAAAAATGATATTTATTCAAGAATTAAGATTTTATATAATTTATATAATTATAATATAATTTTCTAATAAAATACCATTGTTTAAAATACATATGTGACAATGAATGAATCGACAATTACGATAAAATGCGCAAAGATTTTGATAGCTATTTGTAAATCATTGGTGCGAGAAAAAATGAATAAAATTCCTCGAAGTAAATATGCACTATACAATGTCGAAAACAATGAAAATGAATTCAACGTGATATATAATAATGGCTTCTGTTTATAAAACTAGTATCGTTGCGTAATAGACTGAAACTATGGTAGCAAAATATGTTAACCTCGTTCATCGATCGGCAAGCTTCGAGTTGGAAATGACTGAAAGATGTCATCGATAATTATTTAGAAAATACTATATATTTAAAAATATCAATTATTTTGTTTTTTTTAATATTAAATATCAAAATTGAAAAGATTTCTAAATACTAATATAGTATTTTTGAAACTAAACTATTTATTTTAATGTAAAGAAAAGGTTAGCTACTTTTACGATTTATTTGAATATTATTTGAATATTTAAAAATTATAAAAATATTGTGTAATTAAACTTAATTATGATAACAAAGATTTAGTGCATATTTCTTACTAGTGAATATCATGTCATAAAATATGTGCATAAATTACTTAAATACAGTAACAACATAACCTATTGGAAATCGCATCGATTGTTTAATGATCATGGATATATATAATGGGTGATATGAATAAACGAGTTAAATTGAAATCGATATTCAAATTAGAAAGGAACTTAATTGCGATTAATTTTGCTTAATTACAATTGATAGAGTTTAAATGGTATCATCTATATTATCCAAGCACGTTTAACCTGATTTAAGTTACGATCGTTAGAACATGCCCTACTTTGGTCAATGCCTATAATAATGGCAACGAATTTTCAGGAATGGAGTATAATAAGATTTTTGCATTAAAAAAAATTAAATGAAAATCAATTTTAAACATATTTTATAAAAATTATATATATTTTTATGATATAGAAATTTTCCATTTATTAGATAAATATGTAATGTATTTTCAGACAATTTTTAATCTTATATTTATTTTCATTATAATTTAGAATATTTGTAAATAATTAATAATTTAGTAATTTTTTTATAATTATAATTATACAATAATTTTGAAATTTTTTAGTTATGGTATTAATATATAAAATAAGTCATGTAAGATAATCACTTAAAATAAACGTAAATTAATTATTGCATGAAAAATATTTTATTTAAAAATTTCATGATATAGAAGAAGATAATTTGATCATAGTTTTTTGTACGTATAAATGTACGTATAATAAAGAATGAAATATATAAAAATTAATTTTGTTTTTTTAAATGGAATTATATATTTTTTAATACATTAATCATTGCAAATTGTGATTCCCTATAACAAAATTATTAAGCTATATAATAAAATATTATTAATAATTTAATTAGAATTTTATATTATGTGAAAAATAAAACATAAGAGTATTTTGTTTTTCATACGAAATTTTACAAAGTTAATTGATTTATCTCTTAAAACTGATAATATTTTATTATAAATATATTAATATATATATATCTATATTTCTTTTATAGGAAAATTTGCGATTAATTTATTAAAAAATATATGATTCCATTTAAAAAAGGATGAAGATTGATATATTTCATATATATCCATTTATAAGAAAATTAATAAAAATATCAAATTATAATATCAACTTTTCCAAGAAATCTTTTTTCATACAAAAAATAATTTACGAGTTAATAAGAATGATCATGGTATGTCATTTTCAGTATTATTATTAATTATATAATTATCCAAATTATCATTAATTGTAATATACATGCAAAAATAATTTTTTTCAACTTTTTAGTATAAAATTCCACTGTACATCACATATCGATTAGCAAATTTGAATTAAATATCTTCCTAAAACATCGTTTTAGAAAAACCAGATTATTATTCATCAAAGATAAATCCATTTAAATTCAAAAATGTGAATTATCCAAAAACTTACAATTGTTTTTGGGAAATGCATTGTGATAAAGAATCATTGTTGATTAATTATTGGATTGGTGAAAAAGTTATATTGATTTTTGATAAGATAAAAAAATTTCACATAGTTCGTATATCGTATATCATATATACTTGTGATCATAAAATCATTTTTTAGTAATATAATAATATTCTATGTTTATAAAATATTCTATTGTTGAATTTAAAAATAAATGAATTTAAAAATAAATGTAAATTAAGCATTTAAACATAATATAAGATAGTTTCTGTATTATCTTTCTTATATTAATATGAATAAAAAAATATGAAAAGAATGAAAAACATTTGCTATATTTTTTTTAAATAAACATTGAATGATAATAATAAGAAAAAAATATCAATAAAAAAATTGAAATCTATTTACAATATTCAATCGAATTTTGAACTACAACATAATAATGAATTTTATACAGATTTTACAAAGATTTCATAAAGATTTAAAGATTCATTCATCAAATTAAATTGATTTAAAGATTTGATATTTGAATACACAATTATATAAATTGATTTACACTTATACCATTCACCAAACTAATCATTATCTTTTATAATAAACTTTCTCACCAACTCAATAGAATTTGGTGATAATCACGGTAGACGAAGGGGACACAAGTGAACAAGCGCTGTGAAACGATGCCGTCATCTAATCTAACGTGAGCCGCGCCATCAGAGCGGATCTTCTTTGTCGAGTTGCGTAACACGCAACGATAGCGAGAGCGTACACAGAAGACGGTGAAATATAACGAGTGAAGCATTGGTCTGGCTAGATCAAGATCAAGCGGCCTGGCGGGAGATCCTTCTCGAGATCATCGGGAATGACGACCATTCGATTTGGGCCGATGAAACGACGCCGAGAGGAAGACGTTTCAACGGCGGTACCAGAATGACAACGACCAGGACGGTGGTCGGGATCTCGAGGATCCTGGTCCTCGTGCCTGTCACCGTCTGCGCGACCATTTCTTACGTCACTGAACAACCGCCGCGATGCAGCAACCGAACACCGCCACTTCGTATGTATATGCGACCAGAGTTGGGCATTAACGTGCTGAAAAATTAATTATTTAAAAATTTCGAATAAAATTGCTTTAAAATGGTAAGTTTGTTTAAAATAATAATAATAATAATAATGATAATTTATTCGCAGCTTTTATAGTTTTTCGTATAATTAATAGTGATTATCTCGATAATTTGAACGATTGAATTATTTGAATCGAAGTAATTTTATTCTTAATTTTAAAATTTTGCCCATCTCTATCACGTAGACCCCTGTGCTCGACCCACGATCCCCTTTAGAACCCTATTCTTTAGAAATCTGATCGATCTTTGTGCACAATTAGATAATTAGTTCTGTTCACGCTGAATGAAACATACGTTGGAAGCACGTAGCATGTGACAATGAATATGCAAATTTGCATTAAGACGATGCATTATTACGTTTTCATCGTTTGGATTTTAAAAATCATGCGTGTAATATGAATTTGCATGAATTTTTTCAGAGACATTGGCGAAATGTCAATACGACGCTGATTGTATGAAGAATGCTTATTGCTGGAACCAGGAAGCCTGTTTGTGCAAGGAAAATTACATTGTCTATAAAAATCGCACGCACGTGGAATGCCTCAAAGGTAAAATTTTTCTAGAATCTTTCGTATTGTTCCTATTGTCAGTGTTTGACGTTGATTTGATTACGTGATTAACTCATGTTTTAAATTATGTGATCCTTATACGTTCTCATGTATGTTTATTAATAATTTTTTTTCATGATTTATATTTTTATTAAATTGTTGTTGATTTCAACTTTATTTTAATTTTTTCCATGTATTTATTGAATCGAATAAAAATGATAACGATAAAAGGTAATATTAGATAATTTCTACGAGTTTTAAAAAAATTTGAAACGTATAATTATTTAGGGAAAAAAAATAATAAGAGAATTATAAAAAAAATTTTATTTATAATCAGATATATAATAATCGCATAAATATATCTTATATGAATTCAATTAATGAAATAATTTCAAGAGAACAAAATCAACAACTCAAATATTATTTTCAATATTATCTTTATTTTTCAAATATAATCTTGTATAAGATGGAGCAAAATTATTAAATTATAAAATATTCAATGATTTAATGATTTATTACTCTGCTATAAAAAATATTTCCAGTTGAAAATGCATATAAAAAAATAGAAAAGATAATAAAAATTTAAAAATTGATTTTTCATACCGAAAGAGATCTAAATATAATCTACTATGTTCTACGTATACAAAAATTATTATTAAAATCAAATTTCTCAAAATATATAAATGAATATTTTTGCGACTGACCATGAATCAGATTCATCAACTTTTTTCTCGTCGCCTTTTGTCAATCTCACGCAATAAGAACGAATAGTAGTAGAAAAGTATAATATATAAGTAGAATAGTAGAAAAGTAGATATTTACTAGACATTGTTGTTAGATACTTGGAAATTCCACTCCAAACATTTTTCAACGAAAACATTGAAAATCGATTATACCTATTTGAATAAAAAAATTCGATTAATCACCGTTCTCAACGGTAAGCTAGAACGTAGTGTCACCGACCTCGAAAAACGTGATCCTACGAGCATCATCCTTCGTCGGTGTTCCAAGCCGTCCCTTTCTCACGGTCTTTCCGTCTTCTAGAGCGTGTCGTTCATCATGCTCGCCGGTGCGACAAATCAACTATATTTCCTCGATTTTCCCACGGACAGGCCTAACGAAATGACAGAAACTAGCATGAAAATTGGGATCGAATTGACTTGAGAATTTATTTCCAGTTGCGAATGCTATCGGAGATCCTTGCGAGGCGGACGTTCAGTGTCGCGTGACCTTCGCTCCTTACTCGGAGTGCCGACAAAATATCTGCCAATGCTCCGATGGTTCTCACTACGTGGAAGGAAGGTGTTACGAGTCTGTAGGTGAGTGCACTTTACTTCCTTTGCGTTTCCTGAATCTCATCGGCAAGGCGAGTCCCGCTATAATTATTTCACCGCCTTCGTGAAAACGATTCATCGAATCGGGTAAAATGTATTTGCTGTATGTAATATCTTTTAATATTTTAAGCGAGAATTTAACGGAGAATTTAATGCGATTACTTCATTAAATCGGGCGAGTATCTAATATAAGTATCCTTGAAATATTATTTGAACATCTACGAATGATATTTTTAAATTCATGTGTTAATAACGACTAATTTAATTCTATGTTTTATTTAAGAAGTTAAATATAGTAAGAAGTAGTGATTTTCAATGCTTTTTTTATTTCATGGTATGCGTAAATTAAATTTACGAAAATTCTTTGGCATATAAAATTTATTATATTTATTTGATTTGTTGAAATAGGAATATATTTTTTTAACAATTGATTTAGAAGAAATATATCTTTTTTTTTGCTTTAAAGCGAAAATAAAATAATTATTTTTCCAATTAAACAACATTTAATGATATGCCAAAAAGAGTTTTGTTCAATTTTCTTTTTGAAAATTTTTTCTTTGATTTATAATAGTTTGTAAGTGAGAAAAATAATATATAAAATTATTTAAATATATAGGATGAATTTAATAATTTTGCTTGATAAATTTATTTATCGAATGATTTATTTTCCATTTATTTTTACATTAGATGAAATAATGAAGCTCTATTTTATGTCAGTCATATTTTTATATGTTTGTCTTATTTACAAACTACTATATATTTTTTTTCTTGTTTTTTCTTTTTCTCTAATAATTTTTATTAAATATTATACTTTTATTTGAGATTCTTTTATATGAAGCTAGTTAATAATGATATAGTATACTTGAAATTATTAGTTAAAGAAATACAAATATTTCTATTTATCAATTTCAAAAATTTTTTTCTCCAATTCTGTTCATTAAACCTTATCTTATAAGAGGTCGTTAAATTTTTAGCTATCGTAAAATAAAAGATATGAATATCAATTTAAACAAACGTTAAATAAAGAATTTTAATTTTAAACTTTTGTTTTTTCTATTTTTTTCTAAAATATATTATTTGCGAGAAAGACATTAGAAATCAATGTAGTTATTTATTATTTTCTAATTTACGTACAAAAATTTATTAATTTTTCATGGCACATTAATTTGATTATTATTGATTAAAAATCATTGAATTGAAACCATAAAATTAAGATTATCTGTATCTGGTATTATAGAAATGATAGTTTAATGATAATGGAATATTGTAAGATACGTCGATTTTTCTATCATTTTAATGAGCTATATTCTCAAATAATTCTTTGTTCTAATTTTTCCAGAATGAAAAAATAAAGTAATGCATTTCTCAAAGCTTAATTCATTATTGAAATGGCACGAATTTTCTATCATTATTACATCATTACATTATATAATTATTATATCCATATATTATTTTAATTTTTAATTTTATGTACTATATTATTATTCTTATATCTTTATTAAGTAATATTATTATATTATTATTATAATATTATTAAGTAATAATATATTTTATTATATTATATTATTTTTATTGTACGATGATTTCAGTTATGAAAACTATTCATATTCATATACGACATAATTGTTAAGGTATTACAGCTCTCTTTTTACAATGACATCATAGTTTCAATTTTTCGTTTACAAGCTCTAATCAAAATATATTGTTGCTCAGGTCTAGGAGAGCCTTGTCAAACGCACCGGAACTGCTACATCAGAGATAGTTACTGCGTGACAGGATATTGTGCGTGTACTTTGAAGTATCATCCTAATCCTCGCAATGATGGTTGCATACCAAGTATTGGTAAGTATTTCCAATCAATTTATTTTAGATGGATAAAATTTCAAATGGTTTTTTTTTTATAGTCGGTCGACATTTGAAATTTGAAGGAATAATAGAAAAAGTGGAATGGATTGCAAATATAAAATTTGAACTTTATTAGGATTTATTAGGATATTAATGAAAAACTATTCAAATGAAACTATTATATTCGATTCTATGCAAATGTAACTATCTTTGATGCAAGTCAAATATATAATAGATATCAGATTTTGATATCTGTAGAATCTCCTATAAAGAATGATCTCTGTATATCTCTTATAAAGAATATTGTATATTGTAAAACTTTCAATTGTTTCCAAAATTGCAAATATTAGTTTTTAAATTATAATCCAATATTCAATTAATTACAAGATTGTTTTTTAATTTATGCTCAAAACATGCTCAAAATAATAGCAATTGTCACATGAACATCAAATATTTTTATTTGCAAATTGGTTTTTTTATACTAATTTTTTTAATTTCTTAAGAATAAGTGTTATCAGAGTTTTGGTAGATTCTAGATATATTTTATAGATACTAAGATAAAGTTAGATGTTGGCTTAACGTTTGACGATTTGACTATTTGAAAAAAATTGATTTTAATAACATACACAGCATTCGATATATTTTTAACGTATGATACTGAAAGATTTTCATTAATACTTCAGAAATTAATAAATACCCGAAATTTAAAAATTTTAGATTTATCTCGATTAAAATTTTTTGGAATTACAGCTTTTCATGTGATTTAATTAATTCTTTCGTGACGATAAAACACAAAGAATAAAATCGAAATATTTGACATGTTTTTGACAGAATTAGGGGAAAAATGTTTCAAGGATTACGAATGCGTGGCGGAGAATTCGAGATGCATCGATATTTGTTCGTGCAAAGTAGATCATGTACTATCGAAGGATGGCAAACAATGTCTGAAAGTTCGCAATTCTGTGGGGGAATCGTGTCAAGAGAATTCTCAATGCCAATTAGGCATCAAAGATTCTGAATGTGGACCTGATGGTAAATGCAGTTGCATTGAGAATTTCCATCAACGAGGCTCCGTATGTTTCAGAGATATGAGTGAGTACCACTGGGATAAATCGAGTGTCGATAAGATAAAGAAAAGAATTCGTAAAGAAACGTAAAATTATTATTTTAGTGTTGAACGATCGATGTCAAAGTCATAGAGATTGCGTCACCATTACTTATAGGCATTCCAACATTACCGAAGTGATGAACGTCGATTGCATAGACAGTATGGATTCATTTTTTCATCCCTAAACGAAAATTATATTTCTCCTGAGAACATTATATTTTTTTCAGATACATGCGTTTGCGCCAAGGATTACATTATGTCAAAGGAATTATACGATTGCATCCGATATAGCGACAATGGTAATTATTCTTTTTTTAAAAAGTGAATATTATTTTCACCTCTATACCGAATAATAAATAAATTCTATTTATTTTCAGGCGCTGAAAGTACAATTTCTTGGCAACAAATTTTTCGAATTCTCCCTTTTATATTTTTCACGACTTTTTTGATACTTTGAGCATCGTGCTATTAGAAAAAAGTAATCTAAAAAAATAATACAATTGTTTACAATTTTATCAACGTATAATAATGTTTTAATTGTACAATTATATTTATTCGAATATTTTTTGTTTTATTGTAAATACGTTATATTTATATAGATAGAAAAAAAACATATCGCTACCAAAGATAAGTCCATTTCCTCTGTGTATTAACTATCAGTCGATTCATATTTATTCACATCACAGAACAATAATGACTTTCTCTTCTTTTAAAACGCGGATTAATAAATATTATCGCATAACATGACAATGACAGGTCGTGTAATTATTTTCATAGTAATGTTATGGACAACAACGAAAGATAAGTTATATGAAAATATACACATATCGATATTATATTACTATTGTTAACATTTGATATATTTTTTTTTTTTTTTCCTAAATTTTCCAAACATTTAATCGAATTCCGAATTCAATACTTTCCAATCTTCTTTTATCATATCCGCAGCCTTTTCAGCGATCATATAAGCAACCGCATTCGTATGGCCTGTTACTATGGTAGGGATTATACTGGCATCCACAACTCTGAGACCATTGATCCCGTGCACTCGTAACCTGTGATCCACTACACCAGAGTTCCTCCTTGGGCCCATCTTACACGTTCCTACGAAATGACCTAGGGTCGTGGTCACTTGCCGAGCAACACAAGCCCAATACGGATCTGTACCGAACGGGACATGTTTGCATCCTGGAAACGCAACTGGCAATAACGTCGCATTGAAACGTTTAAACGCTTTGGTCGATGCTACTTCTATAGCCTGAAAAATTAACTTTAAATAATTTCATGAAATCGATAAATTTTCTGAAAGAAAGAGCATGAATCAAAAAATTTAATAAATTGAATAAATTGCGAAGTTTTTAGAAATTTAGAAGTTTAAAGAAATGATGATTATCATAAGTGGTATTAGTAGTATAAGTAATAAGTAATAAGTATAAGTAATATGATGACAGTAAAAAAAAAAAAAAAGCGACAGTCGCAATAGTAAGGCGTGAAATAAATATTAAAAGAATGCATAAATATGTACTGAAGAATCGTGATTGTGAAGTACAAGGTAAACAGCTACCAAGATAAATGTTACATAGAAAGTGACAACCTTTTTAATGCCTCGAACCATAGTTCTGAGATCGTCTTCGTGTTCGTAGTAATTTGTCTCGAAAATAGGTCGGTCAAATGGATCACAACTTTTCAAGGTAACTCTCCCTCTACTTTTCGGCTGCAAGAGGACCGGAACAATGGAAAAAGCGTCATAACCTTCGTAACCAGTAAAAACTTCTTTGTAAAATTCGTTTGTCAAGCCCAGAAGCCCTCTGTAACTACCCGATATATCTCCAGTTAGAGCGCTTATACCTAAAACCAGTTCAATGTCGGGAACATTTGTTTCTTTCGTTTCGTTTGAGATTGAACGATTCAAATAATCGGAATTTACTGTGATGGTAGTAATATTTGGGGGAAGAGAAGCTGGAAAATAAGAGAGCATATAATTAAATACAAAAATATGGATGCGATATTTCTTTGAAAATTAATTCTTTCTGTAAAAAGTTTTAAATAGTCAGAGAATATATCTAGAAACTAAAAATATGTCTATATAAATAACTTTTGCTTGATAGTTCTAGTAGATTCTTCCATTAGCAATTGTTTGACATTTTATTTAAATTTTAAGCAATTTTATTTCAAGATATTCATTCTATTATAAAATAGAGAGAAATTATGAAAATTGTTATATATTCTTTTTTTTTAAATATAATATATTACAATTTATATCAATATATAAATATGTGTTTTATTTTCAAGAAATAAAAGAATCTTTCCCAGATCTCAGTATTATTTATATATCACAATTATTCTTACACAATTAAAAAAACGTAACTCCAATGATTTTAACCTTGACATATTGATGCTTACGCCACTACCGATTTTAAACGTTGATTTCAAGAAATTATTCGTTTCAATTATATCTATTAATAACAATATTCTTATAAATACGAATTATGCTTGAATATATTTTATTATGAATTATAATTATATTTTCCATTTACTATCTAAATTTATCTTAAATCTAACTCAAACTAAGATTAATTCAAAACTAATATATAATATACTAATACCTCAAATTCATTATGCAACTACAAAAAATTTTAAAAATGCAATATAATATAACTCAAAAATTGCTATAAGAATATATATATCAAAATTCCAAATTGAAAGTTTATAATTTACTAATTCACAATTGTTTCAATAAAAAGCATATAACTGCAAATTTTAAGTTATTATTGTTGTCAATCAGTATCATATCTATTAACTTTCCAAATATACTTTCAATCTATGTAAAACTTTTTGCAAAAAGAATCAACTTTTGGAGAGATACGCTTACACTGATTACAATCCGAATTTATATTACCTTTTTTGTCATTGAAGTGATTCGTATCATAAAATTCCGTATTATTAACTTGAAATTTTTTCATTAACCGGATAGATCGATCTTCCTTCGTATCGATAAACGCAAGACACTCTGCTCCTCCTGGTACTGTTAAGGGGCCAGTTCCTTTGACAAAATAATCCAAAATATTGGCCAGATTCGAGGCAAGCCGGGGTTCAACAATAGACACGCTTTCATTTACGAGAAAAGTCAACACGGACATGCTGACATGATCTTGGAGGTTATATCCGACCGGCAGATCCTCGATTGAATCGATATTCAAAGATTCGAGGTGATCTTTGGGTCCTATTCCAGAGAGCATTAACAATTGTGGTGAATTTAAAGTGCCTAAATAAACGTAAGAAATTTATCTTTCGAAACGTTTTCGTAAAACGGTTTTTACGATCTCTACGATACGTGTAAGAAATTTTGGGTCACCTGTTGAAAGTATTATCTCTTTATTAGCAGAGACAAATCGTTTTCTGCCATTTTTAATAAATTCGACGCCTACGGCCACTTTTTTCTTTGGATCGATCACGATTTTTGTCACCCTAGACAATTTGGACAAATGGAAATTCTTTCTGTCACGAATGGGCTTTAAGAACGCTTTGCTCGCACTAACTCTATGTCCGTTCCTGAGATGAACCTGCGCTGTCGAAAAACCAATTACATTGGCTGCATTGTAATCGATTACGTCATATCCCAATTCTTCGCCACCGCGAAGAAAACATTCTCTCAAAGGCGAGACGTATGGAGAAGATATCACGTCCAAATATCCTCCATGGCCATGAAATCTGGAAGATTCGTGTCAAATATTATTGTATAAATATAAATTAATTTATATATATATATTTTATATAACGAAATTTTCATTTTTAATTGCTAGAAATATTCTATTTAACGAGCATTATCTGAGACACTGACATCCTCTTGTTAAAGATTTGTTAAGCAAACATTGGCATGTTGTCACTTTCTAATATTTCACAGTTCAGTCACGTATTCGCAATTAATACATTTTACAACTTTGTTGTCTTTAATACTTATATTGCAAAAGTCGTATTCCATTTATATTTTCAATCGAATTGAAACAATGTAGAAAAGTATGATTTTTCTATTATTAATTTTATTTTAATAGAATTCAGTTTCAATATTCAATAATCAATTTAATTGTTAATTATTATTATTACATTATAAAATTATTTAATTAATGATATATCATCTATTGTTTGCGAGGTTTCATTTTTCTTTCTTATTTTCTATATATTTTCAATGAATTCTCATTTAAATTTTCTTTTTGATGAACAAAAGATATGATAATTTTTTGAACTAAGTTTAAAAGAATACGATAAATACATCATTTATTAACATCATTTAAATTATTTAACTATAATTTATTCTATCCTTGGTTTTACCAAATATAATCGGTATTATTATGACAGGTATTATTATTATACATAATTGCAGCCTTGAAAAATTTGATTTTATATTAAAAATTCATAATAAATTTCTTTCAGATCAAATGCTTTTCATGATGAAGAATAATTTTTCTAATGGATGTTGATCCATATATAAATATAAATATTATATTTTTCTATTACCAATTATAATTATAAAAATCATTATCTTTTTAAAATTATTACACAGATCATATATAATCCATGTATTTATTCTTTAAAATCGCAATTCGAAATGCAATCTTTCTATTATATCACGAATATATTATTTTATATATTTTATATATTATTTTTACATCGAAATTGAATTTCTAATATAATTTAATATAATTTAATATAATTTCTAATATAATTTCTAATATAATTTCTAATATAATTTTCTAATATAATAATATCTACCTTATATCTTGATCCAGCAATTTGCAATTTTCCGATTTGATAAAATAGGGAAGCACGTCTCGATAACTCCACCCTGGGTTGCCTTGCGCGGCCCAATTATCGTAATCGTTCGGCGATCCTCTCGAATATATCATGAAATTCACCACAGAGCTCCCTCCGACCGCTCTACCCCCTGGCAAATTGCAACGACCATCCTTCATCGACAAACAGTAACCACCGGTCCCATCCACATTTCGGGGTCTCGGTTCACTTCTGTGCAGGCGGACGTAGTCAGTGACATGCAAAGCCGGAGCAAGCAATGGTATATCTGTGAGGAAAATCTCATCTTTGCCCTCTTCGAGCAGCAACACGTTCCACTGCGGATTTTCCGTCAACCGATTCGTCAAAACGGAGCCCGCGGAACCAGCTCCGATTACGATGAAATCGTATTCTTCGGAGAAATACGTTTCATCGGGGACCGAGTCATCTTGTCCTTTTAGAATTCCGAGAAAAAATAAATAAATAGTTTTCAGAATTGTGGGAGGGATAATGGATTGTACGCAGGACAGAAGCAAGGCAACTATCAATAATTTTAACATTATAGAAATTTAATTTGATTTTTTTAAAAAAAAAAAGAAAAATAAATATTAAATTAAACGAGAAACACTTGTTTGTCACTTTGGCACTTGTCACAGTAGTAGTAATAGTAGTTTTATATGTCTGAACGGACACGTTATTTTAATCGACGTTTAAAGTATATTTATTTGATTTGAAAATGATTGGTTGAAAAGCAGCTCGGTTGAAACCTCCCATCGTCATCGACTCCCGCGATCTTTGTGCTTCGTTCGAACCGAAATTGCTCGACACGATCGGTATCTTGCATGAGAGACACCTAGAATTCTTGATGGTGTTTGTATTGTTAATATGGTCAAGGTATAATGACGCGAGTCGCATGACAGATGTGTATAAAATGAATTACAGAAATAAAGAAGTCATTGAACGAATGACTTTTCAAATCTTTCTCGAATAACTGTAAATTATATAAAATTAGTGAAGATTGATTGATTACAAAAATATTGTGATAAAACTTTCAAAGATTTTCAATTGTTTCAGTTTCACGAAATTATACAAAAAGTCATATTGCGAGAGATGGAAGATTAATTAGGATTTATTAAGAATCGAAACGCGTTCTTATGTAAATGTGAAACGAGTCGTACATTTTAATTTTGCATTGTACATTCTTTTTTTTTTATACTTAGTTTTATATTAAATGTCAATATTAATATATAATTTGAAAATTGAGAATTTTTTACATGAGATTTTAGTAGGTAATAACAAAATTAGGACGTTGTCTTCATGATATTATAAAGATTTATTATTTATATAATTAAATATTTGTATAATTGAGAGGTAATATGAAATTCCATGTTTTAAATGATATTATTAATATTATTATTCGTAATTATATTTATTATTTAAAATATAAACAGAATTTGCAGAAAGCGAAAACTAAACTTTTGAAGATATATAATTTTCGAAATTTAAGAAAATTTGTAAGAAAATTAAATTAAAATTAATTAATTATTGTTAATCTTTCGTAAAGTATAAATATATTAAGTAATTATAAAAATATTTTACTTTTTATATTTAAATATTATAATAATATATATAATATAATAATATAATAAATTAAATAATATATATAATATAATAAATTTATATATATAAATAATTTATTATATAATTTATATTTGTAATCAATCAAATCAATCAGTCAAATCAATATTTAAAATGTAACATTTTTAAAATTTGATTAATCTAAAAAAGTATGTAAACAGAATCTGTAGATAATGGAAACAGAATATCTTATCTGTCTTTAAACGATTATATTATATGTTTTCATATATTTCGTACATATTTTCTGTTGCTAAAAATAATTTCTTTACTTTCAAATAATGATAAAGTAGGAATCCTTTTATTTGATGTAAATACAAGCGATAGAAAATTTTATTAAAACTATAAGTATATATATCATAAATTAAATATAAATAAAATAAAAAAATTATATAATGTTTTTTTTATCAATGAAATTTGAGAATAATATTATAGATAAAAATATCTAACTATTTTCATTTTACCAATTCAGTGTTACCGATTCAGTACAGAACAATATGGATAGTGATTGAATTTGCAATTAAATTTTATTATTAAAAATTGTAAATAAAAATTCAATGAGAAATAAAATAAATCTACAACA